AATACAGCACTATGTAAAGGTACTGTAATCAGTGTACCTTGGAAGGAAAGCAAAATATATCTACAACACAATCCGGGGTAAAATTACCTTAAAATATAAATGAGATGGTACCCAGTAGGTAACTCTGCCCATAGCCAGAAGTTCAGCTTTACATTCCCTCAAAGCAATACTTGGATGCACTTTTATACCACCCTGACTATATGCAAAGCTCTCAAGGTAAATGTGACAAGCGACTTAAGCTTCATGCTTTTACCCCTGTAATCGGGAGAAATACTGGAAGTTACACAACTGTTTCTAAAAGATGAGTGAGGAAGTTCAGAACCTCATCTGAAATTTGGAGTAAGGCTTTTGTATTTATCACGTTAGTGTTTCAGAAAGAGTTGGGGCAGGAAATAAGACTCCTCATCACTGGATGGCGAAAATCCATATAATCACAGGGAACAAATGAAAGGAAATGTGAGACAGAAAAGGAGAAAAAGGGAAGGAAGGAACAGATTGTCTACAACAGATAATGCTGACACTCTTTAAGAAGAGATAGCAACAGTGAGATGATACAAGGCATCAGTTCCCAGAGATTTGGCAGATCCCAAAACACGGCTTTTACAGGAACCTGACACCAAGGCATATTCTCCCAAGGAAATAATAGGTGAGAAGATATTTTCATGCCCTGCAATGACTGGTTTGAGAGCTGATGAGACAGAAGGCTGGGAAGTTTAGTATGAGGCAGGAAAGATTTCTGGCATTGCACAGCGAAGACCTTAACCCTACAGGTCCTTGAGGCCACACAGCAACTATGCAAATTATCTACCAACACAAGTGACTGCTCAGTTCAGTCATGTTCATTATAAAAAAAATGTATTATTCAGACCAAAAAAAACCTTCCAAAATCCACATAAATAGCAAACAACAGATTGCTTTTTCCTCTTTCCTCTGGGTACAACAGGGTACAACATGACTTTGCAGCTCTCAGTTCTTTCCTAAAGGAATTACTGTGATTATTCTAACTAAAATGAAAATATTCACTGCACTTGCACAAAAAACCTCCTTCTGTCACAGGCATTCGCACTGTCAATGCTTAAAGTACCTTCCAGTGTCTTTTGCTGAGGAGATATGTAATGGGCAAATTACTTGATTTTACATGACTTTATCAGAGTGCATAAGTTTAGCCAGAAACACAAGTGCCTAACGCAAATACAGTGTTATTCATTTTAAAGAGAGATCTATGTAATTCAAAAGCGTATGTGCCTGTGTATGCACCCTACCTCACACATCTCAATGACTCAGCACTTAGCCACAAAACCAGCTGTCATTATGTTAAACCACAACATAATGGGCTATGGCCATTACCAATAAAACCTGTCCAAATAAAGTAGGTTGGAAAAATCATCTGTATACAACAGGCTTCACAGGCCTCAAGACAACAGGAAACATTTGTGTGTTCTGCAGTCACCTTTTTCTCTAAGCACACAAAATCCAAAATTCTGATCAACTCAAAAATCAGTGAAATTTCATCCTCAGTTACAGGAATCTCTACATGACAAAACTCAGCCTAACGCAGAGAAGCTCATCTGGACACCAAGTGCAAGAAAGGAAAGTGATTCTGGCTCAGCTCCTCCAGAACTGAAACACCCTGAAGACAGGACCATTTGCTTACACACATAGTAAGGAGGGAGCTAGGAATATCTTGGGATATAGGAGGCCCCGTATCAAAGAGCTGATGGTCTGATGACAAGCAATTAATCTCTATCTCTCAGCAGGCAACGGTCACTGCTTTTCACCCCATGTCCAATATGCAGGGAATACATGAGCCGATCCATATTTTCATAATGCCCCTGCCACCACCAAAAAGGACCTTTTTTGAAGGTGGAAATCTATGAAGCACACCCTGAGGAATGCAGGTGGCAACAAACACCATATATAGGGAGTTTCTGCAATGAATGCCACACAGAAAGATTAACTCCAGAAAGGCTGGAACCCTGCAACAGCAAGTCTGACCAGCCCTCTGAGATGCTCCCACTTTTACTATTTGGTGTCTGACAGGTTTATTGCTTTTGCTGCTGCTGAGTGGTTCTTGGAGGATACAGCTTGCTCTGGCATCTTGGTTACATGCAGATATTCTGCCATCCACCCACCATTAAACTGTTGCACCTCTATGCAAAGAGGTTGCTTGGCTTGTTCAGAATAAGACACCGCATTTGCCTGCCACTTCAGTTTTCATGATCGTCTGCTTTCTCACACAAACCAACACTCCTGCTTATAATGGGCTACATTTGCATCTCTGCATGTAAAACAAAACGAAAAATAAAAGTTATCTTGCATCAAATCACACCTTGCCAATTAAACAAAACTCACCATTAGAGTGAATATTGCTGGCAGGTGGAATGAGTCTGTGTCAGAGAAAGCAAAGCACCACATATTGTGCATTGAAAGGGTTCACATATACATACGTCTGCCTGTGTAAACCAAAAACTTTTAGGGGACTAGCATTCACAAAGTCTGTTGTTGGTGTTGCTAAGGATCTTGTACTGCATTTTCAACCTGAAACCCAAGTGACTGTCACCAAAATGTACTGAGATCAAAGAAGCATCAGGATACTAAAATACATTGTAGTCATTTCTTAAATTTCACAACCCATTGCTAAAACAGTTTCTTTATAGGACCATTTTCTACGCCACAGGAGTTTGACTTCAAGCAGCTCAAAAAGATGGATTTACCATCCAAAGCCAAAGTCATGTTCTCGTCAGACAAAACTGATGTAACACACTCAAAGATGGTATCATGTTATATATCACAGTCTTCTTGCCACCTGCTACAAGGTGTGTCTAACCTACATAAGGAAACTTTTGCAAGATGAAGATTGCATTGGGCAGTTCTCGATCATTCTTTCAGAGGCTGACGTTCAGAAGGCAGCCTTGGTTTTAGGCATGGACTGGATGGGAACCTGGCTGAGGGCTGATTCCCTCTCATGACTGAGAGACATAACAAAGCATTTTTTTTTATCAAAGTGTATTGGTAGAGTATACATGTTTATGTTCATTGTGACTGTTTGTCCAAAGAGGCAGGAAAACATGAGGCTGAAGCTGTTCTATGACCTTTATACTTGGCTGCACGAGGGCCAACGCTCCTGGTGCGGACAACAGCGAGATCATAAGGAACTGCACAGCCCCATGAGTAAAGTTACAGATATGGCATAAAGCCGGTTGTTTTTCTAAGGGTACAAAGGCAGGACCCTCTTGTGGCCAAATCCAGAGCCTCACCTATGGGTGGATGCACCATGCAGGAATTTTCTCAGCTACCTGAGACTCCCAGCATTGGCTGCAATGGGGCTTCCCAGCTTGAAGTGCGTGCCTGGATGACGCTTCAGTGGTATCTGGTGATGTGTTTCTTCTCAATCTCTGTTCTGTCTATGCTGTAATGATCTGATGCATTGCTAACTTTCCTCTGTACTTTACTCTCAATATGTATGTCTCTGATTTGCTCCCTTGTACTTATTTACTGTGTATAAAGAGATACATACCAAATTTGCATTAGTGTGCTTGTTTGCTTTAGTGTGCTTGTTTAATAAACTGTGCATGCGATACAGCTAGTGTGTGGTCATTTTGTGGCGTACCCTGCCTGTCAGCAGAACAAGGCAGAAGCATTTAGTGCATATATGTGTTAAATCAAACACTAAAAGCAGCTGCCTCAGTCAGCTTTGGAACCTCAGAGGAAACAATCAAGGACTACCACAGAATAAAGCCATGGGATGTATCAGAAGAACTGGCCAAACCTGTACAGCTGCAATGATTTGTAGTTCTCACAAGCTGAAGAAAAATGTACAGGTTGCACCAGCTCAGCAGAAGCAAGGGAAGGCTTTGCTTTAAATACTACATCCATCTACCCTGACCATTTTTTACAGAACAGTGAGGCTGTCATTCCACAAGGAAAAAAGGAATTCTAAAAGAGAATAGCAACAAAGAACCTAGTTTAAGATGACCTACATAACTCATAGTCAAAGACTGCTCCCAGAATTGCCCACTGAATGCAAGGAGGTTAGTTTTCTTTATAAGAAAAGCAGCAAGAGGAAAAGAGTGAAATGAGAAGTAAATCAGAGTAATCACAGTGCTATATATTTTCATGGCAATGCATGTTTAGCCAGAAGTACCTGAAGCAGTTAAAAGTAGTAAGACTGCTTCTGACTAACAGATGTGAGTTATCAGTTTTCAGAATCACTGAAGGAGCTGCTGCAGTTCAGGGTTCCTTTCCATCTCGATGCACCGCAAGTCAGTTGTGGAACTGACAAGAGCTGTAGGGTAACAAAATAGCATTGGTGCTACAGCAGTGACAATTTCAAGAATAGGTTTGGAGATTCTAGCCCAAAAGGAATTCTCAACAAAGAACACACATGAAAACAAACATGGATGCACAAATAAGATGCAGAGAAGGATAGGAATATACAAACTGTATTAGGACTGCTGTAAACCACTGACATCTAGAGATAGGCAAGAAAAATGCAGAATAAACTGTAGGACAAAACTTTCATATGCAATAATTCCTAAATCATGCTTCACAATTCGTATCTAATTCACTTCATTTTTTCTCCTTTGGATTTTCCCTTTTGTGCTGCTTGTGATGCACAAGGACCATAAACAGTTTAGACAGATTAACACAGCAATGGCAGACATCATGTCATGTGTTCAGATCACATATGACTAAAGCATTTACACCTTAGATGATAATGTAGATTTCCCATTCCCTAGCCTTTGATTCTGTATGATATATTCACGTTCAGCCGCTGCTCTCCTCATGGTTTAGATCTCTAAGGCTAGTCAGTGCCATGCAATTGGATCTAACAGCTGGTATTCTGCCTGACAGCCAGTTAGTGAATGAAGCAGCCCACAATTTAGTAAGCTAGTGTAAATCAGTCTTAATGGCAATCCCCCTCCATGGGCCATCTCCATGCTGCTTGGATATAATCACAGATCCCAGGAAAGACATAATTAGATTGCGCAGCTTCTTACCTGCAGCTCCTTTGAGACTCTCTCTAAGTGGTTAGTTATCTTTTTTATTAGGTCACTATACATCTGTTCCGAATGCTGCTGGCATACACACTTATACACACAACTGCAGAAACAAATATAGGAACAAACAATGAACTTACAACAGTTTGCAATGAAGGGTAACAGACTTCAAAATATTTCGTTCAAGTCCCAGTTTAGAGGATAATAAAGTTAACTGAAGGAGTGGTGAACAGCCCTAAGCTTGGAATGAGCTCCAGCAGACTCTTAAGTCTGACCTGGAGGCCCCACTGTGTCCACCCAATTTCCTCTCCCCAAACTCACTTTAACTTACAGTGAGATCTCTTAACAGTGCACTTCAAAACAGCCAGGATAATTCTGTCAACAGCAGACTCCTAATTCGGGATTTTGTCTCTCCTATGTGAATGAAGTCTCCATTAAAATAAGCAGGTTTCATGATTATATGCATATCATAGGGTGAAACCCTTATTAAAAGAAGGGCAACACTGACAAACAGTCACGGATGCACCAAAATCGTGCTAGTGGTTTAAAAACAAAAAGTTCTAAAATTACAGACCCAAGCATGTTACTCTATCCTTTGATACTTAAATTCTGAGAAACCCCCACATTTTCATAATAAACAAAGATGTACAGAAAGAGCAACAAAACTTGAATTCTACATTCCAGCTTGGCTGTGTTAACTCTGGTCTTCAGTGTCACCTTTGTTTTTTAAGGACATTTTATTGCTTTCATAGTTCAATACAACATATCTACAAAATAAGGCTATGCATTGAAAACATATTTACAACAGTCGTAAAACAAATACATATATTGCTTTCAGCAAGAAGTTACATTAAGGTAGTCATCATCATCATCAGGGCTAACACCATCATCTATACTAAGCAGCTTTTACTTCTCTTGAGTGCTTCCATTCTTTGAAGTCAGCATTCTGGCAGCTAGCTGTCAAAATTCAAGAGGCACAAGGAAGACTTGACCTGCTGTCTTGGGCAAAGCAAATCACCTCCCCATGCCTCTGTCCTGCTCCTGCTCCCCCCTCCCTTCATCCCTTTGTATGGAATAGAGTGACAGTGAGCAATTTAAACCAGAGACTGCTCCTCAAGACATGCACAAAGTATTTCCGGCAAGGTCCAGATCCCAGACTCGAATTCTGCAGGTTTTGAATAGCACTAAAACCCTAAAGCTGTGGTACAGCCACAGTGTCTCTGTAGGGGAAGAATAGCATTCCAACTCTCTACTGAGAAGGACAATGACAAACAAACTGCAAGGATGGGATTAAAACAACTACAGGCTGTTGGAGTTTTCCCATGCAAGTGAGAGATTAGGCACCAAGTCCAAGCCTTCAGGGGCCAAGACAGCACTCTCATTCATAAGTGCCACTCTCAAAAGTCTTCCGAAAGAAGGATTTAACAAGTGAATTATCAGTAACTCTTAGAAATGTGTATTTATTCCCTTTGACAAAAGGCCCTCAAAACACAGCAAAGTCTGCTTATTTGGCAAACCATGCTATTTCTTAAAGAACAAAAGACACCTCCCACCTCTCCTACTATTATACATTAAAAATAACTGAATAGCTATAGTTTGAAGTCTACCAACAGCAGAGCCTAGTTTGGAACAAGCAAGTACAAGACATTTGGATATGATGTAGTAACAGCAAAAATATCAATTTCATTTGGATCAAAGAGAGACACTGATAAGAAAAGCCAGACTGATTTTTGTGATAACTTACAAACCAGACAGCTAAGTAACAACAGCAAATGGCTATATGTTTGCTGCATAACTAACCAGTATATATATAGCCACTTCCACAACTGACTATATGTCTGCTTAGTGTTACATACACTACTGCTATACCTACTTCTGCAATGCGTTCTGTACCCAAGCACCAGCCTTCATATGAGCGTGCAGAATGTGTTTACATTTTACTTGAACACTTCTATTTAGAGGTTCCTTCCCCATTTTAAGATCCTGTTTTCAGTTCCTGAGCGTGGGCTGATTCCATGAATCATCCTTGCCCTCCTATTGCCCAAAAGAAGTCACCAGCTTGTGACATTAAAAGGTAAATATTTAAAGAGAGGGATGAAGATCTGAGATCTGCAAGTTGTCTTGAAGAACACAGATCTAACTGCATTGTACCTGGGAGGTAGTAACAGTTGCCAGAACTACAACTTAGCTGTTTACATCTTCCTCACCTCAAAGTTTCCTTCACATCTCTCTGTCAATATATTTAACCCTTCTAATAGGAAGTGACTCTGCACAGGCAGGCTTTGGACTTAAAGATAAAAGCAGTCACTAATCACACTTTGCTACCTTAGGGGTAAACTGATCCATAGTAAATATCTGCATACACACCTTTCAAGTTATCTCCTAGCTTTATACTGCTGTGGAGTAGACACCTACAGTTATCACTGATTATGGCAAATGCAGTAGTTTGGGTATCTAATAATGTATTTTGAGTCTGCATTGATTCCTTTAGTCAGCACAAGAATGATCAGAAAAAAAGCACTATATTTTCAGCTCAGTATCACTGTAAAAAAAAATAAATATGAGAGATGTAACTGTTTGAACCACTTCAGAAACACCCCATTTTCCAGACTAAATAACTAGCCTAGGGAAACAGAGAGGATCGAAACCCCAAGTCTGCAACAGACTCTCTTTAATACTCCAAGCAAGCATCCTCATTAAATTCAATAAAAATCAGTTTTCCTTCTCTTCTCAATCTATCTTGTCTAGATTGTCAATCAAGCAAAGGAAATGTCTAAAAATAATGAAAAAACAAAATAATCAATCTCCTGATTGGAAGAGGCTGTGTCAGAGTAATTACAACCACAGACATAATTTGTAATAGAAAACTGACACAGCAGCTTTATCAATAACACTAAAACGCACAATATCTTTTGGTTTGGTAAATTACATGCAACAGACATCTGTGCATCATTACAATACTGCATCAAGTGTAACCCTTTTACATGAGGGTTATCTAGGAGAAACTTAAAACCCATTATTCCTTCAATGCATAAAACTTCAGAGGAGTAAAAAGGTGAGAAAAATGAACTCCAGTTATCTTAAACCATAACCAGCTATAGATCTACTCCAGGTATTAAAACCATTAACTCTGTATGCCTACTCTATCAGAGATGACTGCCAAGATGGCTTATTTCTAAGTGATGACTGTTTGCACATTGGGGATTTTAAGCCAGGGAAAGGACTTTGATTACTTACACTAAAGCTGCAAAATGTCTCTCAATTCAAATGACCATCTCAATTATTTATACACATAAATGCCTGAGTCCTGATAACAGCAGTTCTAAAAGTTTGGAGAGAAAAGAGGAAGTTTTAAACTGGAATTAAGATGGAAGACTGAATACCTGTCATTCTTACATCTAGTTCCCTAATTCAAAGTTTCAACCTGGAGAGCCAAAGTGGCTAAGAGCAAGCGGGCAGGAAATGACAGAGCTGAAAGCCTCTAAACCCAGCAATCAGTGACTGAGCTGCTGTTATTTCATAGAGTGTAACACTGGATTAAAGAAAATCAAAGCCAGCAATGCTATTAGTTGTGCTGCTGGCAAGGGCCAGTAGTTTTAAGGGCATCTTGGCCAGTAAATGCAGCAGCAGCTACCCAATTTCCATTCTATTTACCAACACATCAGATACCAGTCACCTACAGCACAAAAATCTCCATTTTAGTCTATCTCAAATAAATGCCAAGTCTCTAAAGCATCTAGCAGCTTGGTTTGGAGCAGTAGCATGGTTTTGAAGCAAATCTCCTACCATCCCCATTACTTGCACAGGCCAGCTCTAGTGTGTGACTAGATCCTTTTTAACTCAAAGTAAACTGCAGCTCCAGGCCAGGTACAACTCTGTTTCCAAACAAGAATGGAGATATAAAGGATTGAATCTTGTGTCAGCCTTTCAGACAGCCTCCCACTGCACATGCAGCCAGATGGCTGGGCAAGGGAAAAATGAGACTAAAGCTACCTGGTGCAACACACACAGATAACAGTTAATGTGGACGGACCTTGACACCAGTAGCTTCTATTTATCTCTGGTGCACCAAATCAGTTCCTATTAGACATGACAAAGAAGCCTCTTGAAACATGTAGTGAAACCCCTACTATGCCAGTCTCTTCTTCCCCTTTGAGGAAAGGAATGTTGAGACTTTAATATATCACACTAAGCAATTGTGGTGGAGACTGATAATGTTTTCAGCACTTATGCACTGTAATTGTTTAGCATTTATTCCTATTAACATTGGACGTTGAGATACGCATCTTTTATTCACTCATTCCAACCATTTAAATGATGTGCTTCACAAAACCTTCCAACTTCCCTCCTCATAAATACAAATATGACATACGTGCAGGCTGCAAAATAAACCAAACACTTGATCTTAAATTAAAGAGTAACAAAGCGCTCAGATTTCCTTACCTGTATATTTGTTCATAGGAGATAGGGATGTAGTCACCAGGACTCTGAGTTAGAAGCTGATCTATGGCACTGTCCAACTTTGGCCAATATGTGCTCTTATAGTCTTCAATTGTTATAACATTCATTACTACAAGAAAAAGACAAAACTACATTTAGCAACTCCAGCTAAAAGCAGCAAGTAAATGCTCTGCAATTTCAGATCACACCAATAAGTTGGCCAAATAAACTAGGAACCATTGACTTCCACTAAGACAAAACACCTAAAACTAAAGCCCCAACTTGAAGCTGTAGTTTTTATTTAGAGAGAATAAAGTAAAATTAGAAAATCTGCCAAATCAGTGCTTGGCTATTTCTTAAGGGCTCAAACAGCAGGGAAAAAGAAACTCCTTGGAAGTTCTAGCATGACAAATATAGTAGTATAGAAAAATAGCTCAGTAGTTAGTTCAAACCAATAAACTCTGCAACTTTGTAGGAGTCCAGAATCAGCAATTAGCTCTGGATCCTCACATGCACGAAAACAAGCTTGGGCCAAGTCTGGCAGTTTCTGGAATACTCCTTCCCAGCAGATGTATGAATTTTACAAGTCTCAGGTGGGACCAGCAGCTTCCTTGGCCTAAAAGCTGAGGCAATTTCCTCTGCCTTCAATTGCAGTTCGGCTCCTGGGCAAAGTTTTTGGACCTGTATTACAGTTCCCCCTCTGGCAGGCACAATTACACTCCTTTTTCGGATCAGAATCAACAGTGAAGAATGGGAGGCATTCAAATTAGCATCCCCATCCCTCCCCAGTTTTCCTCCTCAGCTTCTCAACTGCACCCTCTTGCCAAGCCACCCCATGTGCCTCCACAGTCAGGGAAGAGTTTTAACCTGTTTCTTTTTGGGGAGGATTTTTGAACTAACCACACGCAGCTCAGTTCCAAAGGCAGCCATGGCAGAAGGGTTAACACCTTCCCTGCAGAGACTACTTGCAGAACTATCTTGCTGGCTTGTCACAGCACCATAGCTTCACACCACCTACTCAAAGCAGAGCCCTCCATAACTAAGAGCACAGGGTATCCTTCATATCAGAACTACCCAAGCCAGGGAATCTGAAGTCATTTCTTCACTGGAACTCCACACATGGGTTTGGGCTACATGGAACAGAAAATAAAGACAGTTCCTATCCCAAACAATCCATTTTAGACACCACACTGAAAATAAATATTTTAACAGATCTGCATTTAAAATACATGCGTAGATGTAAAAATCACTGCACAGTTTGAGGAGCAAGATTTCTGAGCTGTTGCTTTTACAAGGGGTTGAAAGGAGCCGAATGAGTCACTTTTATCAGCATTATGAAGAACAATTCTAGGGAAATACAGGCAAAAGTATGAGAAAAAGAAGAATATTAGAAAAAGAGTAGAATAAAGAGAGGTGTGAGACAAGGAATTGTACGAATGCTACCTGTAAGAACAGGTATTACATATTCCTGGTGTGGTTTTTTAGGGTATTTCATCCAGAAACCTTGCTTAGTGAAGAATGCTAGTGCAGCACTCCTAGTCCCCTCTTCACCCAACTAGCCACTGGTTCACTCTTGCTTCATACCTGTTACAGAAACAGCTCTAGTTAACCTGTCTGAGCAGTGAACTGGTCTCCACTACCAAGTCCTGCAGGATGCTGTCCCAGTGCTCCAGCCTGCAACTTGAAAGTGCAATCCCATTTCTTAACAACTTGACAAAAGGTTACAGGTGTGTGTACACAACCACCAGGACATAAGTTAACGTGCAGCAAGTCAGCTCCACAATGTAAAAACATCCATGCGGGCAGAACAGCACAGCACCTGCCTGACAGCGAATTCACTCCTTATTCATCTATTTCACAATGACTTGCTTGAGTTCTTGTCCCTTACAGAGCTCAGGCTCCAAGCAGCTTCACATAAAGCTATAGGTTTACTATGGATGCCTAGACTCAGCAGCAAACCTGAAAAAGTGGGTTTCCACAGAAGTGCTCTGTTTCACAGAAAACACTGAAGTCAGCATACATATTAGACCAAGTCTTGATTTAAGATTTTAATGTATAATCACACCCACACCTGGCTTAACATATGAAATGAGCTCTATTCATTTGAAAGAAAGTAGTCAAGTAAGAACTGAGAACATGCAAAATAATTTTTAACAGGCTGTTGAGATAGCAATTTGGTTTTTTTACAGTATGGAAAACGAAAGAAGCAGCAGAAAGGAATGTCTGCCCATTTGAAGTGCTGCGCAGGTACAGAACAAAATGCTTTCACAAACAGCCCCAGGAGACTTGACTAGGAACCACTGATGAGTTCAAAGTAATATTCTAGAAAAGATTTATTTTTATTCTGAAGACTCTCACAAGCAATATTTTATTTCCACACTTCAGTTATGAAACTAAGCCAACCATAATATTTATATAGTTAAGCATCCAAGGCTACATACTGAACAATCACTCTCTGGCTCTGGGCAATCCCAAGGACAAACACAGGCTGCGGAAGAACGCACTGAGAGCAGCTCTGAGGAGAAGGACCTGTGGGTGTTGGTTGACAAGAAGCTCACCATGATCTGTCAGTGTACGCTTGCAGCCCAGAACTCCCCTCTGTGCGGGGCTGCACACCCAGAGCATGAGCACCAGTCGAGGGAGGGGATCCTGCCCCTCTGCTGCACTTTGAGGAGACCCCCCCCTCCCCAGTCTTGATCTAGCTCTGGGGCAACAGCATAAGAGAGACGTGGAGCTGTTGGAGCGAGTCCACAGGAGGCCATGGAGATGGTGCAATGGCTGGAGCAGCTCTGCTCTGGAGCCAGGCTGAGAGAGCTGGGCTGGGGCAGGCTGGAGAAGAGAAGGCTCCTGAAGGGGAGACCTTAGAGCAGCTCCAGTGCCTAAAGGGGATTCAGGAAACCTGGAGAGGGGCTTTGGACAAGGTCCTGTAGGGACAGGACAAGGGGAATGGCTTTAACCTGCCAGAGGGGAGACTGAGATGAGCTCTTAGGCAGAAGCTCTTCCCTGTGAGGGTGCTGAGGCGCTGGCACAGGGTGCCCAGAGAAGCTGTGGCTGCCCCATCCGTGGCAGTGTTGAAGGCCAGGTTGGAAAGAGGGGCTTGGAGCAACCTGCTCTAGTGGAAGATGTCTCTGCCCATGGCAGGGGCTGGAGCTGGAGGAGCTTTAAGGTTCCTTCCAACACAAACCAGTCTGGGTTTCTATGATTCACAGATGCATCAGGCAATGAAAAATTAGGAAGCAGGACCACTCAGCAGGACACTCTCAGGTACTGTTTACACACACAAAGCAAAGGGTGAGTTAAAGCAGAGCCTCCAATTGCAAACTCTGCAAGAACCTCAAGAGCAGGAAGAAATCACACAAATCCTCACAAAGAAAAGACAGACTGCCCTTCTAGGAACTTACTTGATTTTCTACTTTTCTAACTTTTTAGGATGTCATTCTTCAATGCTTATCCCTACATTAGGTATTCAAGACTTGTAAGAATTGGTCCAATAGCCTCTTTCCAGATCTCAAGGAAAGGGTGACATTAAAGGGTGACTTTCATGTCATTGAGATTTAATATGTTTCTGGGAAGCGACACAGATATTTTATAACAAAGCATGCTAGAATGCATGATTTTATCCAACTACAGCAAGTTTGGGGTGGGGCTGGGAGAGAAATCAATCTGAGCAAAGGGAAAGCCACCGTTTTCCAGGAAATTATAATAGACTTCACAAGTGAAACTTGAGAAGCAACTGCTGCTTCTCCATATACAGGAAAATTCAAAAGAAAAACTGCTTAAATCAAATGCAGCAGTGAAAACATTTAAGTGAAAAAGAATATGCATGAGCTTCATATCATAACCTAGATATTTCAGTATCATAGCTATAATGGATACACAGCCTGCTGCAAGCTACCACATTCTTTGATATCAACTTCAACCAGAAGAACAGCAAAACCCACTTACATTTTATAAAAAACAAAACCAGAAGGTTCAAGAATAGGTATAGAGCCCCCATGAAATTGATGAGGAAAAACTTACAAACATACATAGATGCTGGAATAGTAATAGGCACAGGACACAAAGAATAAAACCAAAAATCACTGATACTGTTGGTTTTGTTATTTAGATGTAAAAGCTGTCTGAAAAGCCACTCAAACCCCCTACTACCCCTACATACAAAATGCATCTTCCTTTCAAAACCAGGATTTTAACAGATTTCTACCTAACCTTCTGCCTCCATGACTCTGCCAGCTAAATCAAACCAAAGAAGGCCCACCAGATGCTTTAGTCTGCAACTGTGAACATGAACAAAACTACCACGCTGCAAGTAACTACATGCTGGAACACAAGCATTGTTGGAGGAAAGAATCAGGAGGGAGAGACCTTTCTGAATGTCAGAGGGGCTCCAACTGACCATAGGATCATTGGAAATCACACACCACCCCCATTTTTGAAGGTCACCTGTAGGATAACCTAAGACTAAGCCTCTGCATCCTGAAGCAAGGAAGACACAAGTACTTGCTCATTTCACTGCAAGAAGTTCGTCATGCAGCAGAGAACAGACAACTTCCCTACAAAACTCAAGACTGACACTCAGCTTCTCTATGCATGTTCTGCCATTGCCAAGGCAGAGCACGCAGGAGGGGCCTAGAACACGCCTGTCTCCCTTTCCATTGCATAGTTACAACAGAAGTAATCTTCCTCCTTTTTTCTATTCTTAAAAAAATAAGGAGGGCAGATTAAGGGATGCCCTGTCAGAGGCAGGATTAGAAGACTCAGGATGTCCCATCCCTGGCAGTGTTCAAGGCCAGGTTGGAAGGGGCTTGAAGCAACCTGCTCTAGTGGATGTGTCCCTGCCCATGGCAAGGGGTTGGAACTGGATGAGCTTTAATGACCCTTCCAACTCAAACCAGTCTGGGATTCTATGCTGATCCCAACTCAGCTCCTGTCCATTCTCAGACCAGACAACTTCACTGGACTTGTCCTGTTTATATACACATTCTGTCAAAACCATCCACATCACAAGGGTGTAAAAGTTCTAATGGACTTCACTCAGAGGTTTCCATTTTATGAGAATTTCAATTTTCTTTAGAACAACACTTAACCTCAGTAAGACAGGTATCGTGTTGCGATATGAATGATGGGGAAGTGAAACAAGAACTCAAAATCCACACCCTAAGCAAAATCACACACAGCCACTTCTCCTCCTGCTCCAACATAAAATTGCAGATCAACTGGAAAGTCACCTTCCCATTTGGTGATGGCCCAGCTTGAAAACATTCTTACCCTGAAAGAGAAGGAAAAACTAAGACTCTCAATTTCTGGATTGGGAATTCAAGAGCTTAGTTCAGCAAGGCCAAACCATTTCAACTGTCTCAATTGTTTATGAGCCACCCTAAGGTACCTGGAGCCCTGACAAGGCAGGCAGAGAGCCAGAGAGCTCACAGAGTCTCGAAGCCTCCACTTAAAGCAGTCAGCCCTGGCAACATGACTAGAGCCAGGAAATCCAGGCTACCAGAAAAGCAGGGACCCAGAGGCCTGAACTTTGAGCTTCTGATCAGCAATGAAGCCGAGCTGCTGGACAGATGAGCTGGTACTTGGGAAAGAGGGGTGAAACAAGGTGAAAAGGATAACAAGGTGCTTCCCACCCAAATTTCATCATGGCAGTTACACTTTTAGACTTCCAGGAATACTGTGAACTAACCAAATCCAAGTTTTCCAACAGCCATTAGAGAAAAGGGCATATTTTGCCCAGAGGGATGACTTCTGGAAATGAAAGTTAAATTGAAACAGCAAAAAAATCTTCTCTTCCCTCAACCTCAGCAAAACAACAGGGGAAAATAAAATGCCATTTCTGTGAAAAGCTACATACAAAAGATGTTTTGGAACTATTTCTTAGGGAGGTAAATTCATCTCCAAGCTGTTCACACCAGGCCTTTGCAGACATACGTCCCCTCCAGAGGCCAGCACACCCCATCCCGGGGCTCTGCACACATTGCCATCTGCTGTCAGCAGCCACAAACAGGTTCCAAACCCACCTTTTGGGGTTTTTCAGGTGGGGAAAACAAAAAAAAAGAAAGTCCTTAGGAAAACAGGACACGAACCAAGAGCTTCAGGAAAAGCAACCGTGCTTCGGTAAAGGTGAACACCTGCCTACACTCGCTCTCCCAGTTCTACCGCCAGACCTACCACGTCACCTTGCCATGACAGCAAAGAACTTGGGGTGTGTGCGAGAAAGGTTATTTTCTCCTTCCAAGGCGCCTTAACCCATCCGATTTCGCTTCGGGAAGCCTCTGGGGCCAAGACCCACGCCAGGACCCGCCGCAGGACAGACCTGAGCAGAGCCACATGCAGGGGACAGCGGGGCCAGGGCAGGCCGGGAGCGGGTGAAGCGCGCGGAGCCGCCCGGGGCGAGGCCCCCGCCGGCGCACCCCAGAGCACCGCGGAGACGGGCGGGGCGGTCACTCACGGAACTTGGAGGTCGAGGCGTTGATGTTGATGGCAGCGGCGATGGCTCCGGCTCCCCCCTTGCACGAGGCGCCCCCCGCCTCGCAGCCCTGCAGCATGCCGTTGGCCTCGGAGAGCTCGGTCCCGGCCGGGGTCCCGGCGGCGGCCTCGCGTAGGAAGCGGTCACCGACCTGCCCTGCGGCGGAGCCCAGCAGGTGCCGCCCGTAGCCGCCGGCGCCCCAGTTGTTGTGGTTCTGGTCGTCCATCATGGGCTCTCCGCCGCCGCCACCCTCCTCCTCCATGCTCTCCTCCTCCATGGCGCTGCCGGCGCGGCGGGAGCGGGGCGGGGAAGGGCGGGAATCACCGCCCCCCGCCCATGGGGCCGCGCTCCGCCCGGCGGGGCTCACCGCGGCACGGCTCCGGGCACGGCCCGCGGCCCACACAGCAACCTCCGGCGGCGCTGCGCGACACTTTGCGGCAAACGGAACACGGCAGGAGGAGAGGGAGGTCTCGCCGCGGGGCGATGCTGGGGAGTGTAGTCCGGAGGTGCTGAGCCGCGATTGGCTGGAGCGCGGGAGGGGCGGTGCCGCGCGCGGTGCACTGTGGGAGAGCGCGGGGCGTCTGTGGGGAGAGGTGTTGGAGCTTCCCGAAGCGGGAGTGGAAATGGGGATGGGGCTTCTTGTCCTAGTTTCTGCCAAATCCGATGAGTATACTTAACTCTAAAGGGGGTGCTCCGGCAGCTTCCGCCTTCGCTTTCCCTTTGGTGGTGCGGAGACCGCCCCTGCACTTGCTGCAGGCTCGGGGCTGCATCCCCCTCTAGCGGGGAGCGCTCCACGGGCTGCGGGCGGGGAAAGAGCCGGTGCCATCGCGTTAGAAGAACACCTAAACACGGGCCTGGGTGTTCCACCCGCCCTCCTGGTCTTGCTCTGTCATCTCCTACTGTGTGGGTGCTGAGGCGCTGGCACAGGGTGCCCAGAGAAGCTGTGGCTGCCCCATCCCTGGCAGTGTTCAAGGCCAGGTTGGACACAGGGGCTTGGAGCAAGCTGCTCTAGTGGAAGGTGTCCCTGCCCATGGCAGGGGTTGGAACTGGATGAGCTTTAAGGTCCTTTCCAGCCCACACCGTTCTAAGATTCTGTGACCTGTAAAGTGCCTGCACAATGCTGCTGTTTATAGTGCTCCCTTCTGTTAACAGAGGAAAAGCCTGCCCAAACAATACATAAAAATCATCTACCTTGTCAGTGAACAATGTAACAGTTACGAACAATAGTACTGTCTAGTTGCCTTCAAGTACTTCATGTTTACTTTCATTTGCAATTGGCTGTTGTGATGGAAGAACAGAAATGAGGATTTTACTGAAATTGCCACTGTTTGGGGTTTTGCTCTTCTTGCCAAACACCCCTGAAAATGCAGATAAAAACAGAGGTGCCAAGCCTGTTTTCCAAAACATCTCATGGAAAGCAAGAAGCGTGTCATTTGTTATCCAAATATAAGCATCAATTTCTATTTTAGAGTGAGGCAAAGTTGTCCTATTTTGTAAAAGCAGAAGACAGCACTGGTCTTACTGCACTGTGGAACAGCTAAACCTTGAGGTGCTTTGATAAAACCCAGCCGTGGAAAGAATTTGTCCTTATTGTGGTTTTCTCATACATATTTGTACTAATAGTGGTTTTCCCAGCTGCAAAAGATCGCACTATGAACACCCATGGTCTGTTCAAACTGATACCCAGCCCTCTTCATTTTCTCTGTTGGTGAACACCAGGAGAGACCAAAAGCTGATCTGGCACATCATGCATAGACCTGAGATCGTGGACTCAGCCCATTCACACACCTGCTTTGGCTGCTGATTTATTTCTGTCTACACCTTAAGCAAGGCTGGAAATGGGACAGAAAGGACCTTTTTGCTCACTTGTGCTGCATCTCTGCATTGACTGAGTGGGATGTGTAATACAATGCAAATATCCATAGAGACATAATGGATATTAAACATGGAAAGCTAAAGCAGCAAACCATTTTTAGCTTAGGGAAGTGTTGCAATTTTCTGGTAATCACAAAGAAAGCTAATCTTCATAAGTGCGTATCTTCACTGCTTCGAGAAAGGCATGTTTGTGTTCTCAACCTGCAGAGCAACTCCCTCATATCCTCCTACTCAGCTGCTTCCACTGATCCCAGGAATGGGTCTTGTGTTCTTTGCCAGTATTTAAAAACACTGTGACCTGAGGAGAAATCAGGAACTTACCCTTATCAGCATAGCTTTGTCTTGGTCTTATTAATTTAGAAAGTGCTTATGTTAACATCTGAGAGCAGTGGAGAAGGAAGACAAACCCAGCATTTTTCAGTGCTAGGATTTCCCATTCTCTGTTTCATACTCTTTCTGCACGCACCTATTCTTGTTACCATCTCTGTAGCTTACAGACCAGCTGGAGTTTTGTTTGGGGTTGTTTTTTTTTACCCTGATCTTTAAAGGGTTTCTTTCCAATCACTTATATAATGGTCCTTGCATTGTGGCTGCACTTACTGCACTTCCTTGTGGCAGGAATCCAAAAAAGCTTAGGAAATACTTCACTGTGGAGTTCTCTACAGAGCCTCCTCTGTTGCCTTGTGCAACAAGCTGGCTCATCTTACAAATCAAATAAGAAGCTCTTTCTTGCCTCCCATAAGGCAAATGACAAGCTGCAACAGTCATCTATGGCTCATGCTATTTAAGCACATGACTGCATGCTGATAAAGGCGCTATCAAATGCCTCATCATTAAAGCAGCACTTGTTTTTGCATGCACTTCAGAGTCTTCCCCGCACTGTTTCCTTTTTTCCTCGTCAGCATGTGAAAATTTGATTCAGGCTTCAAACACCGTCTTGACAAAATCCCATTTTGCAATACCACAGCTATAATTAGTTTCAATATTAGTTGAGAATACCACATACAGATGCAGTGCTGACAAGACCTGAGTATCCACACGTCTCCATAAAATCCCTGGAGACCTGAGACTTCTTTACTGTGACCAGCTCATCAGTAAGCTCTGATACTTTCACCAAGATAGCAAGCATATGTCACATTTTCCTTGCAGACTCCTGGATCCATAGCTGATTACCAAACAAGTATCAGAAGCATTCGTTGCTCATTACATCTTCATAATATTTACCCTTTTTTTTTGGCTCAGCACTTTTGATAACCAGGTCACAGCCACAAGCTTTACTCCAAATTAAAAGGGAAGATCAGGGTTTTCTAATAGTACCCACGGAAACTGTGAACCAACAACGAAGTATTTTCTACACAGAAATGGGGCAACAAGGGAGCTTTTCCTTCCAGGCTCTCCAAAGCAGGCTGTGTCACTTGCTTCTGCTGGATGTTTCCCTCTTGTCTGAGCTTCATTTTATATCAACATTTGTATCAATCAGAAAAGGGGTATTTTCTTTTTCCTCAGCTGTTTGTGTTTCTAAAGCAGAATGATTGGGTACTCCACCACCGCTGTTGCTGTGCTCTGTGCCACAGCTGGGTGTTATGTACAGAGCAGTTAAATGATAGATGAGACCTGTTGGGAAAATACGTGCATAATATGTTATGGTTTATTTCCTACTATTGGTAATAAACATTATGACATGGATACAATTCTTCTTATTTTAAAACAGACCATTTTTCCTTATTTCCCAAGTGCCCGCTCTACTGGAGTCAATAGGAAAGCTTCCATTGATTTCAATGGGATTTTAATCAAGCCCTAACACAGCATGTAAAATCGTCCCAGATTTATAGCTCTGGTTCTAAAAGCCAAATGAAAAAAGAAATAATTCTGACAAGAAAGAAATATGAATGCTAAGCAGAGCCTTAAACAGCAGTCTGTCAGGAGGAGCAGGAAACATTGCTCTTTCAATGGCAAATAAGACAGCCCCTTGCAGAATAGTGCTGGGGAACAGATAAACTGAAAGGGAGGTTCAAGTACTTGTTATTTTTGAGACATATTTTGACAATCTCTGAGAGATGGCTTGCTTGAGCTCAGAGAGCCAATAGTCCCTCTGCCATCTGGCTATCTGTAGCATACCCCATATCCCTTCCAACAGCAGCTATCGCTTAGGGCAAGAGGATTAGTGTCAAGTTTTCATGAAAATGTGCCAGTTATGTTATGGAGAGACCACCCTTAGTGTTTCTCCACTATATCTGTGAACACAGGCTCTGTACATGCTGTCTTATTATATTACGATCTCTTAGTTGGTCTCTCCATGGAAAGAAAAAACACAAAAACCAGTTTTTGTGCTAAGTCCTTGGGAACTAAAGGCTGTTGACATGTTTTGTCAGTAGTATCGATTTCTGACTTCAGAAGAAGGAAGCACAGCACAAGCAGAAATCAGCTGCCTGAAGAGGAGCAGTCCCTGCCACCTTCCCTCTCAGGGTGGTGAGACACAGGGTGCCCAGAGAAGCTGTGGCTGCCCCATCCCTGGCAGTGTTCAAGGCCAGGTTGGACACAGGGGCTTGGAGCAAGCTGCTCTAGCGGAAGGTGTCCCTGCCCATGGCAGGGGTTGCAATGGGGTGAGCTTTAAGATCCCTTCCAACCCAAACCATTCCAGGATTCTATGAGTTCATGAAACTGTGTATTTTGAACATAGGAAATTCCATCTACCTCCCAACAAGGAAGCAGGAGCATGCTCTTGCCAGGTTCCTCTGGGGCAGGAGAGAAGCGCACGCTCACCACCCAGCCAGGGAGCAGTGCCATAAATGTAAGCTGCTGATCAAAACCAAACACAAGCACTCCAGAGATGTTTGTCCTTTCTCCTGCACTGTACAAACATACAGGTATGCTCCTGCTGTGCAGGGCACAACAGGAATACTTAGTCAAATCAGATCATATTCTACTGAAACTAACTAAAGAGTCATAGGAGAGACACCACAGACTGCCCTCTGTTACCCCTGGGTGCATATGCAAAAACTCAGTTGGATAACTTGTATTTAGGATAAATGGGGAAGTTTTACACCAGATTCAAGCAGACACCCACTTCTATCCTTTAGCAAGTGAGGCTGTGCTCCTCCTCTCCAGCCTCACAAAGAGAGCAGGACCCAGAACTGTGTGAAGCTGTTTATAATGAAAATACATTTTCAAACCAGCTCCCTTTTCTCTGCCAAACACACCATCAGCAGTATATTAAGAGCACAGGGACTGCAGTAGCATATCCACTGACATTCTTCCAACTTCCCCAATAATGGTCACATTCCCTGCACCATCTGTGCCTTGAGTGCACTAATTGGCCATAATTAACATGACCAACCTCACCCAGGACCCCTATCCATAAACCTTTTGTCCAGGAGCCCCACTGAAGCACAGAGCTTGAGGTTCACCCCTTGCCTCTGCTATGCTGTGTATGTCCTGTTACCTCTGTCCACCAGGTCCCTGCGTGTTACTCTCCTTCATCACAGGATTATTTCAAGGTCCGTGTCACTCGGTTCCTGGCTGTGGGGATAACTCAGTATTTGCCCACGGGAACAGGCAGAATAGAC